CCTGCACGGATCAGGCACAGACGTCCCAGATGATGTGAAAGGCATGACATGATACGGGGTGGCACAGATTGGGCTGGAGGCACCCAGCGGGTGGGGGAGGGGGATGGTGGACGCAGCGCGCGCGTGTGTGGCAGGGGCGCGCGGGTGGGGGTGCCCTGGGCATGTACCCCAGCACAGCACAGGGTATGCGGCCTGGCTGCCTCCACACACAGCCGCCGTGCATGCGGCGGGTGCCCAGCTGCCTCACCGCGGAGGCATACGGGTCGCAGAAGCTGTCCCCAAAGCCGGGCGCCAGGCGGGGGCGGTTGTTCTTGGGCGGCTTGTTGGCGCATTTGAGCAGGCGGTACACTTGGGGGGGCACGTACTTGCCATAGGCGGACGTGGACAGCTTGGGCAGCAGCTGGCAGAGGCGGAAGTTGGGGGGGCACGCGCAGCTGCAGCGGGCAGGGCGGAGGCGGGGAACGGCAGTCCTGTGAGGGGTGCCCCATCCATGGCCCCGCTCGGCCGGGTGGACGGGTGGATGTGGATACATGCGCAGGGGTGCCCCACGCATCAAGACAGGAGGTGGCACCAGCCACGCCTCTGAGCAGCAGCACCCCGCCCGGCCCCACCTGCCCGTCTTGAGCTTTGGCGCAAAGAAATACAGCGAGCGCGCCTGCAGCTTCTGCCGCACACAGTCGCCGGCCACGCCCAGCGCGCTGCAGTTCACCGGTAAGGAGGCATGGCAGGGCAACTTGCCTCCCTGCCAGCAGAGCCACGGCATGCGCCAGCCGCACACTGTTGGCGGCTGGCGCATCAGCGCCCACCCCCAGCCGCACACCAGCGGCGGCCTGTGCCCAGCTGGAGAGGCCTTACGTGCTGCAGCGCTTCCTCTTCTTCGACAGCAGGTCTATCTCCAGGGCTGGCGCGAAAAGGTAGACTGGGCTGATCATGACGGCCTGCACAATGAGGGTCTCAGTTTATTAGGTGATGGAAACAAAGTGTGGCCGGGCCGTCGGGACAACATGGCCCCGCATGCGCCGCTCGGTAGCGCAGCGGCAGGCCCAGCCCTGCCTCTTCCCGGCGCAGCCTACATTTTTGGGCGGCTTGGTGGCCAGGCCCTGGAAGCACACGGTGTAGCGCTTGCCCTTCTTGGGGCCCTTGACGCCGCAGCGGCATGCGTAGGGACACTTGGCGGAGGCGGCGCCGGCTGCAGGTGGCGGCGGGATACGGGGAGGGAGTTGGGCGTGCCAAGCACATCTCAGATGGCTCGGCGGATACCTGTGCGCGTTCGGTGAGCCCCGCACCCAAAGGTTTGGCGCCCACGAGTAAGGCCGCGGGAGGGCGGGCAACGCTCGCCACCCAAACCGGGCTGCATGCCCACCCTTGAGAACCAGCAGCACCACAATCATGGCCGCCGAGATCCCCCGGAGCGGGAAGGGGCACTTCATGGCGCGAGCTCCAGTGGGAAACCGGAGGGCTGCGGGAGCGATGGAGAGCAATTAGAACGTTGGCTTGAGCTGTGAGAGATGATGCAAGGGTTGGACAAAGTGGAAGGAGAGCGTAAGGAGTAGGGTGATGGCGTGGTGCATGGTCACCTGGTTCCCGCACCGCTGGCAAGCCCGTGCCACCTGCAGGTCCCCCATCCCCTCTTCAGGCGCAAACGCTGTGCCAGATCCCACTTACAGTATCCACAGAGCTGTGTGAGAGTGGGCAGCCTGCGGATTGCTGAAACTTAGATGCAGTGGACCCCACCCCCGCACTGCGCACACCACCGTCGCACACGTGCGGCAGCACATCGCCTGTGCAGGCGAATCATTCACAAGGAAAGCATTTCGAGGAAGCGACGCACGCCAAAACACAAAATCACAGTACTTCAAGCATCAAATCGTGAAAAGCGGGCACACAGGCAGACGGAGTGAGCTAAGCCATCAGAGACAATGGCGCCCCTTCACAGCCTCCTCCGAACGTTCGCTCTCGTCCTGGACGGCGGCGGCGGACGCGGCAGTCGCGGCTTTGGTGGTGGACGTGGCGGCTTGGGGCGTGGCGGCGGCCGCGGCGGGCGGGGCGATGGGGGACGTGGGCGGGGAGGCGGTCTTGGGGGTCGGGGGCGGCGCGGCGGTCTTGGGGGTCGGGGGCGGGGCGGCGGTCTTGGGGTTCGGGGGCGGGGCGGCGGTTTTGGGGGCCGGGGACGTGGCGGAGGCTTCGGAGAAGGAGGGCGAGGTCGCGGAGGTCTTGGGGACGGCGGGCGAGGTTGCGGGGGAGGCGAGGGCCGTGGTGGCGGTCTGGGACGTGGCGGCGGCGAGGGCGGTCTGGGGCGAGGCGGCTGTGGTGGTGGTGGTGGAGAGGGCCGCGGCGGCAAGATGCCGGCCGTGTTGGAGGGCACCAGCGCGCCCCGCGTCAGCGCCACGCCCCTCAGGTAGAAGGCAAATGTGAAGACGCCACAGGTGCCGTAGCCGTTGCTGCCCTCCTCCATCGACAGGCGGAAGAAGCCGTCGTCGCCAAACCACTTGGACCTGGCGGGCGGGAGCACAAGAGGCAGGGGAGGGGAGCAGGCACGGGTCACGGCGGCGGCGGCGGCAGGCCGCCAGCGCGCTAGCACGTGCACCGACGCGGTCTGGCGCAGCCAGCCAGCCGGCCGCCCGGCCAGCCGCACTGCCAGCGCCAGCCAGTCACCCGTGCCACACACACACACACACACACACGCCAGCAGCCTCACCAGCTGTTCTTGAGGATCCAGGAGCCGGCGCCGCCTGCGTCGCTCGTGTCGTACCCCACCAGCAGCACCACGTGGTTGTAGTTGGAGGAGCACTCAGAGGCCTTGACCACACCGGAGGAGTACCACTGCAGGCTGGTGGCGTCCATGTACACAACGATGGGGCCCTGCAGGCGGGGGCGCCAGGTAGGCGGGGAGGCGGGCGGGCACGGAAGGATGTGTGTGCGTGCTCGAGTGGGGTGGCACGCCCACCTGCCCAGCCGCGGCGACCGAGCCAGGGAAGCGCTGCCCAGCCAGTGCCTGCAGCCAGCCGCCCTGCCTGGGCGGCACGCCAGCCACAGCCATGACGCAGCCGCAGTGCGCTGGCGGGGCGGGCCTCCACCTGAGTGACCAGCAGCTCCATGAGGTGCTCCCTGGTCTGAGGCGGCCACCAGTACTCGTCATACCCCTCCACAGTCACCTCGATGCCCGGGTTGGAGGCGGCCCTCGCCTTAACATCGCACGATCTGCAGGCCAGCCGCGATGCACACGCCCCAGTGCGTGTGTTGTGCTGTGTGTGGATGGGGGTGCCGAGGCACGGCGTGCCGCGGCGCGGCCCAGGGAAGCGCAGCCCGCCGCTCGCTGCAAGGCATGCATGGGTTTCCAGCACACCACGCCCCGCCTGCCTGTGCGGGCGCTGCCGCTTCCCACATGCATCTATGCCCAGCCCCCGCCCTGCAGCCTCACCCTTTCAGCAGGCTCAGGCCGCTGGCGTAGGCCCACTCCGCCTCCGGCAGCACCCGCAGCGACTCCCCCATGCTGAACACATCCACCGAGTGGCCGCCGTTGCAGTCCCAGTCGGTGCAAGACACCTGCAGCAGAACGACCATTGTTGGGCGCAGCAGCAGCAGAGAGGGCCAAAGGGTCGCACGTGATGCCCTGTGGAGGCCGCACGCAGCAGCTGCAGCTGTAGCCCCGCCGCTGCCTGCGCATCGTGAGCGGCCGTGGCTCGCCAGGGGTGTGTGGAGGGCTGCCACACGCAGCATGCGCACCGCTTGCTGCTCGCTGAGGTCCAGGTTCCCAGCTCGCTCGGCGGTCAGCCCTGCCACGGGAGCAAACGCGCTGTAAGGATTGCAGCCAGCGCCCGCAGCAACGGGCCCCGAGACGGGCCAAGGCAGTAGCAAGCAGCAGGCCTGCCGGCAGCCTGCGTGCCAAACGGCACATGCCAGGAATCCTGGCTCGGAGCAGGAGCAGGCAGGGAGCACCCACCCAGCTCAATCAGCAGCTTGGATTCGATAGAGGCAGTGGCCGCAAAGGCCTGCATCCAGCCAGCCAGACGAAGGACAGGCGTATGAGTAATGCAGCAGGGTTCAGTGGCTGGCAGCGACGAGGCGTGCCGGGCAAGCAGGGGCAGCGGCCACTCCTAGCGCGCGAGCCAGGGAGCGAGCTGGTGGTGCGTGGGTGGCAGGGCTGCGCCTCACCCAGCAGCTGCCGCACACGCTCTGGTCCTTGACATCCGTGACCTTGCCCTTGTCCCGCCAGTCAAATCTGGCCGGCAGGTCAGCCAGCAGCCGGCGCCGCGCGCCGCCCGCCGCTGCCAGCGAGCGGCGCCTGCCAGAGCTGCAGCAGGGGGGCGGCGGGGAGGGGGCACGCGCCGCGATCTGGGGCGTGGCTAACCACACTCTGTGCCTCGATGCTTGGCACTGGCACAGAGAGCGGCTTGGCTTCTGCCCCCAGCGCTTGAGCGCTTGACTGCGCACCAGCAGCCGGGCGGGCAGCCCAAGCCCGCGCACCTGGTGCCGTTGGCGGTGCCGTTCTGGGGCGGCGGCACCGTGGTTAGCACCAGGTCTGCATAGTCGGCCTGGGAGTAGTCCGAAAAGATGGTCAGCCCTGCAGGCGCTTGGCGGCGGGGTGCACACGCGCAGGGGGCGCCGGTCAACTTTGCAGGCGCGTGGCAGGGGGCACACGCGCCAGGCATACGCGGCGGCGGCGCCAGCACAGCGAAGCATGCTGCTGCGGCAGCTCCACCTGGGATGGACTCATCCACATTGTCCTTGGCCTTGTTGTAAATCACGGCTATGGTCTCCTTGAATTTGGTGTAGAAGGAATTCTGCAGCACGTAGGGCGGCGAGCCGGCGGGTCAGCTAGCCAGCGGCAGGCATGCCGCAGGTGGTCATGCTGCAGAGGTGCCGGGATGGGGCTGCAGGTACTAGGCGGGCCGCTCGCCGCGTGCGGCCGCGCTGCCGCCGCGGCCGCCCACCAGCGCGTCTGTTGTTGAGTACTCTATTCCGCAGTACAGCTGCCACTCGCGGTACACCGACTTGATGAAGGCGTCGCTGTACTGCAGCAGGGGCAGCAGGGCGCAACGCGCCACACCATGCTGGCTGTGTCATGAGAGTGCCTTGGTCACGTGGCGGGCAGCACGGCGCAGACACATGGGAGAGGCGGCACAGGCACAGGCACGGCGTGGTGCAGTGTCGACGCACCCCCAGCTGGATGAGGCCGGCTAGGAAGCCAAAGGTGCGTTCCATGTCTGACGCCGACCTGCACCACCACACATTCCTGAGTAAGGCGCCGCCACTTGTGATGCACCCTGGCCCGTGCATTCAGCCGGGCTCGCTGCGGCCAGCCCCTCAACGGCAGGCAGCCGCGCCAGACGAGGTGTCAATCTCAGCCCTGCCCTGCCCTGCCCTGCCCTGCCCTGCCCTGCCTTCCCCGCTCTGCCCTGTTCTGAACACCCCCACCCCCCACCCCCACCCACGTGTAGTTGAAGAGCTGGAGGGGCGCCAGGGCCAGGGAGCGGTCTGGCGAGACTCGGCAACGCCCCTCGTAGCAGGCCCACTTGGTGATGCGGTACAGCAGGCAGTACTCGTCGCCCTGGTTGCAGAACAGCTGGCGGCAGGGAGCGGGGCCGGGCGGGCGGGCGGGGTTGCAGACGCGAGGCGGCGCCGGTGGCAGGGCGTCCCAAGGGCAGGCGGCGCACCAGGTCAGGCGGGAGGCGAGCAGGCGGTGGCGAGGGCGCCCAGCACGACGCCAGCGGCGGCGGGGGCGGCGGCGCCTCACCACATGGTAGCTGATGTTTGCGGGCACGTCTGCAGACACCCTGCGCTGCGCCAGGGCCTGGAAGGTGGCGGGCGCAGCTTGGGAGCCGGTGTCCTGAAGGGTGGAGTTGCAGGGGGCTGTGGCGCCCAGCACCTGCAGGGGAGGGAGAGTCCCGCTTGGATGGCACTGAGCGCAGGGCCTCGCACCCAGGCACGGCAAGCGGCGCAGCAGCCGCAGGCGTGTGTGCGGGCGGCGGGGGCGCGTCACCCACCCACAGCGTGTCGTTGGAAGAGATCTGCCGGGGCGGGAAGCCGGGCACCGTGGTGGAGGCCGTGCCTGCTGGCGGACACATGGCATGTGAGCCGTTGACCACATTGGAATGGTATTGGGCACACCGCACAGTTTTCCCGCCTGTCGTCCCAGCTGGCCCCCCACCTGACACAGACACGTTCCTGCCCTGCTGCACGCCCACACACATGCCCGCCATCGGCTTGAAGGGGACGGTGAAGCGGTACACGAGGTTGTACCGCGGCCTGCGCAGCGCCGTTGCTGTTACTAGATGTGCTGTTACTAGAACGCACAAACTGACTTGCCTTCTAGAGGTGGTCGAGCACACCGCCTAGGGACGATGCACAGCAGCCGGCGGTCACCTGATGTCGAGGTGCTGTGGGATGAGCGCCAGCAGTGATGGGTCAACCGTCAGGTTGGCGGGGCTGCCGATGTAGTCTGTGTCGATCCCCACTTGAATCTGGATGTTCAGGTCGTTGCCAGACGCCCCAGCGCCGCTGCTGCCCAGCACCAGTGCCAGCAGGAGCAGCAGGCCCAGGCATGGCGCCAGCGGGCGCAGCTGTGGCATGTCGCGCGGCGGCGGCGTGGGCGGGCGGCTGGGCGCCGTTGCCTGCACGCAGCGCGGGGCAGGCAATGTGAGCCTGAGGAGGCCGCACAAACGCGACCAAGAGGCTCCTTGGGCGCCCTCAAGAGCGGGGGTCGCGGGGACGGGGGCCCCATGCGGGCGAGGCGTTCTTTTACCCCCCGGGGGGCTGCAGACCCCCAGCAGGCGGCTGGCGCACCCCGCAGACATACCGTGCCCCTGCAGAATGGCTGTGGCGCACAGCGCCCAGCTAAGCGAGCTGAGCTTGGACGGGGAGCACTGCCGAGCCCAGGCCAGTGCCTCAGAGCAATGCCAGCCTCCAGGGGCCGCAAGCAAGTCCGCAGGACGCGAGTTGCAGCCGCAATTCGCCAGCCCGCTTGTGTGGGCAGCGGGCATGCATCCTGCCGTACCCTCCGCGTTTGTGGAAGCTGGTTCTGGCTGTTTCGGCCCTCAATTCGTCCTGTGATAAGCATGGCCGCTTTCCACATCGGAGTGGGGGACATCTCACCGAATGATGCAAGAGGTCGGGTGGGGTGGCAGCGGCGGCAGGAGGCCGCAAACAGCGGCGCTGGGCAGAGGGCATCATAAAACTGGCATGCACAGGCGGTGAAAAAAATGGGGGCTGCAGGCAGTTCTGCACCGCTCAGAAGGGGATGGGCTACAGAGTACACGCTGAACCAAGAGCAGGCGGGGGCGGGGCCCGCTCTCAGCTGCCCGCCTTGCGCTTGGCGCGGCCCGCGGCGGCGGCGGGGGCCTTGCCCTTGGCCCTCCCCGTCCTGCCGTCGTCGCTGTGCGCCGCCGTGAGGTCGATCACGTCTGCAGGCAGGCCGGGCGGGCAGGCCGGGCGGGGCAGGCGTGCAGCGAAGTGCAGAGGTGAGCGTGCAAGCTGCGGCGAGGGCCTCCAGGCAGCCAGCCTGTGCAGCAGATGCTGAGCAGTCGGTGGATGGCTCGGCGCAGCAGGC